TCTTCTTCTTACTTCTTCTTTCTTCTTTTTTCGTCTTCCTCTCCTCCTTGAGTTCTTATTTCTTGTGATAATTAAATTAAATTAATTCAATACAAGAAGCACCTCTGCCCACGTCAGGAAGGGGTATTAATGGAATTTATATTAGCGGGTATGAAAAACCTCCAATAGCGTGTGAATACTGGAAGTTCTGGAACCCTTTTTTAGTTCCGGAACCCTTTTTTTTTTTTGTGGGGGGGGAGAGGGCGGGGGGAGGGCGGGGAGGAGAGGTGCAAAAAAGTGGAGGATATGTAGGCGCGTAAGGAAAAGAACGATGGTCCATGGATTGAAAACAACCGTAAATGCATGGAGTACAGAGAACGTCTTGTTTTCATCCGATGGCATCAGGATTTGAACATGGGTCCGCATTTCAACAGTTCCATGGGTGTGTACCAACTGAGCCGGTTGGTCCGAATTACTCTTATATTTGGTGGGGCTGAGGCACTGAGGGCATACTCACATGAGGACTTTTCTAAATGTATCTGACTGCATTTACGACCACACGCAGATGAATCTGGCAGCAATTGCGGCCACAGCTTAGAGCAAAAGGTGCTTGTGTGAATATGCACTCTGAGCAAATGGCAATGAGACACTGCATTTCCATTTCTGTGTTTTCGTTGAACCACGACTAGCTTCTTCCGCCGAATACAACATACGTCGTCGTACGGTCATTATAGCTGAATTTAGACTCAAAGATAGCCCAAATACAGCTATAATGACCGCACGACGTACGTTGTATTCGGTGGAAGAAGGTACCTCAGACCCTTTTTTCCTGACACAGATTGGTCTCAAGGGCCAACAAAAAGCAAATCAGCGCCGCCACAACTTATAACTCGCAAGGCCGGCCATTTTAGTCGGGTAGGCCGAGCCCTCGAAATGTGCCAGTTTAAACCACTTGTACCTTTGCCGCGTGGGAAAATAGCAGGCCTCGGGTGGGACCAAAACGAAACGACGGCCGCCGCCGATCCGATTTATGAATGGCAGCCGACGTCGGCCCCGGCCTCCGAACTTTCAGGAGTTTGGGAAAACTGCCACTTTTCCCAATTTTCCCAACACTGGCGGATGTACTAG